GGCTGCTGAACTCCTGATGATGTGGATGCTCATGCAAGTCCAGCTGACGTAAAACGTGACCTAAAGTGCATGCAAATCCTGAGGGCATGCTAATGAATAGCCCTGTGAGCAACGCAACAGTCTGTATTGTCTTCTGATAAACCTGTTTTCCATTGGGGTTTTACACTCACAGAATTTGCATAAGATTGAGGTAACAGTGGTGTTCGAGGATTACGGTATGACCATTTAACATGCTAAACTTTTATCATTGGACTATACTTAGATATACCCAGAATTCACCCTTAAATGTGATATACATGCAGTTGTTGTTTACAAAAATTTGTATTTTGCATTTTATGTTCAGTCAGTGTCACTAAGACTTAATTTTATCTTGCATATCTATCATGCACAAGTGAGCAATTGAGCCTCGGAGACAGAACTGGCTGTTGGGTAGAATTAGGCCAGTGAAAAGAATGGTGGAACACTTTGTGAAAAGGTGGCAATTTGGTTTTTACCCCCATCGCTCTGGATTTGCATACCTGTACACTGCTCCAGTCAGGGAAGCTCATGCAAATTGGGATCACCTATGCAAATGAGGTCAGCCTGTAGGAGGATACGAGGAAAGGCAAGTAGACCGTGTTGGCATGCAGGCCTTTTTTTTCCCACTCACGCAGCCCGCAAGAACACAGCAATGCAAACTCTGCAATGGGCATACACCCACTCAGCTCACTTCTTTCCCTAATAGCAGAGTATTTGCAGCAAGAGAGATGCTGGAAATAGCTTGTGCTTGGTTACCATCTGAACCTTTCTAAAATCTTGCTTTCCTACCAAACCATTGATCCTTGCATGTATTAAACATATGGCGTAGACTCAAGGTCTGTCTTATCTAGTACAGTGATTCTCTTTTTTAGTGGCTTAGATTCCCATGGTTTAAAGTGATGTATGCAAACTATATAGTATACTCTGAGCAGGGAGACATCAAGTCAGCGCAGTCGTCCCTCCATAGTAAAAAGGAAGATTTTGTGTCTGCCGGTTTGTTTACTTGCGGGAGTTCCATTGGCATTTCCCCGCACATGAATTCTGACCAATCGATAAGCAGTTTAGGAACTATGTTCAACAACATCTGGCTAATGATGAGTGATGTGCATTTTGTCAGATGACTGCATTTTGGTTCTTTTCATCTGGTTCAATCGTGGTGTGAAAACAAACCAAAGACGGCAGAAAATGCTACAATGTATCATTTATTGCCCTTGGTCTGGGCCAAATAAAGCAAACTACAGATGTAAAAGCACCCTAGGAAAGTTGGAATAATTAGTCAAGTTATTTTATAACTGGTCTGTTGTGTAGACAATCAAAAATATACAGTAAATATTTCTTAAGGAGGCGTTTTACTGACCTTGGTTAAATTTGGTTAAAATTGGTTATTTATTTATTTTTTATTGAAAACTGATTTTATTCAAGAAATAAAGAAATAAGACGTAATGTGACTTCATTACTTGAATGTTGAAAATGTTGTATCCTACAATACAAAGTTACTTGTCAAATAAATTAACATGGAAGATTATTTAGAGTTTAAATTATTTTATTAGCTTGTTTGTGAAGACTGCAGAGTGATGCATAAAAAATGACTTTGGATAATTGTTTAAGTAGTTTGTGATATATGTTTAAGTGTGCACCCTAATAGCAGGGCTGGCCCTGTACATTTTGGGGCCCTAAGCAGAATTGTTTTGGGGCCCTACCTTGCTCTAAATAGTGGAGTATTGCCATTGCAAACCGGCCCACTATGATTTTATTGCTTTTACTTAACCGTCTGAATGATTTGGACATTTTAAAACAGCTCTGTTTTTGTCAACTGCCAGCTTCAAAAACGAGGAATTAAATAATCTTAATAAAGGGACTAGTGATTCCTACTTTGTATCTCTCTGGAGTATTAAAATATATATTTATTTTATTTATTTCATTTTGATAATATAAAAGTTTCTAGGTTGATTTTTTTTTTGTTTGTTTGTTTTTATAAATTCCAAAAGCAAAACCCTGCAATGAAATGACACTGAACAAAATTTTTTAAATGCATTACTGAGTTAATAAAATTTACATTCTTTGTTCTTCAAAAACTCAACAAAAAAAAAGATTAATATCAATGCAAAGATTGATCCATAAATAATAAAATCAATAGGCAAAAAAAAATAAACAAGAAAAATATTAAAATAAATAATAATAAAATACTTTATTACTCCTTTTAGTCTCCTTCCCTGCTCCTTACATTTGAAATGCAGGGCCCAGGGCTGCTTATATTAAACTGAGTAATTCAACTAAGACATAACTGTTATAAATATGTCTCAGGAAAAATATTACCAGTGTGCGAAATATATCAGTGAAAGACAATTCAGTATTGTATTTCAGTAAAATGCATTTTAGATGAAGAAAACAGGTTAAATATAAAAAAGTTCAATATTTCATATAAGTAGTCGGCGTTTATTAATCTGCAATTACCTATTAGATGAGGTCTTTAACATCATCATTAGCACTTTTTAGCAACGATGCTAAAAATTAGGGGTGTGAACCTACACTGGTTCAGTTACAATTATCATGCCATCGATTCGGTTCAATTTAATATCTCTGTGCATCAACGATATGTATGCTTTCCATATGTAATAGGATTTTTTTATCACAAAAATTTTTTTTTATTAAAATCAAAAAATATATATTTATAAGTACGTGCTATTTATAATACAATTTTGTCCTTTAATAGAGGCAGTAAAATATATGAACTGTACCTTTAATTTGACATGTTTAAAGAAAACACATTTTGTATGTATCAAACAAAACTCCAATACATGAACAGAATAACATGAGCATTCATAGCAAATAAACGAATGTAAATATGATCCCGCTTGCTTTTTAAGCGCTGTCAAAGGAGGTCTTACACCCCAATGATTGGTTATTTTTTTCACACGCTCACCAGAAAGGGCTGTAATTGGCTTTAGAAATGAAAGCGCTTTTCACCGATGAGTAACGCGGGAAGGACAGCTGTGGTTACAGTCTATATGCGCATAATACGCGATTATCACAGGTAATCCGTAATAGAGTGGACAAATCTCGCAACTCAGGCACGCTCATGTCTGGATCCACAAGTATCGCTTTAACAGCCAAGAGGAAAGGAAAAGTTACCTCACAAACACACCAGCGGGTCAAATGTCCAGGGAGAGATAGAGAGATAGAGATAGAGAGAGAGAGAGAGATAGAGAGAGAGAAAGAGAGAGAGAGAAAGAGAGAGAGAGAGAGGTAAGATGGAGTTTTACAGCATTTCTCCCTAGTAGTGAAATAGCAGCTTATGTGCTGTGCCTTCCTCAGTGTTAATGAAAAACTTTCCAGAAAACTCACAAGCAGCTAAACTGTGTATAATTGTCCACCATTCTACTGCGACATCGCACATAGGAGATAAATGACATCAGTACGTAATAACCGGTTATGATTATTACTGAACCGATATCAAATTGTCTCCATCTGCATCGCGGTGCACTGTAGAAACAATTATTTTGACACCCCTACTAAAAATGATTTTGTGCTCGTCTCTTCTCGTGATCATTTTTTCCCTCAGCTTTTCGCCTGAAGAATAACGTTTCTTTTTATTTTTGTGGTCCAATTACCAAAATAAATCAAGTTTTTAAATGGGGCAGGCATTGAAGCAAAGTCCATGGCGGCTGTGTCTGTTCATGGATTCGCGTTCTTGTGGCGACCTGTCGGTGTTGCTGGTTACCTTGGAAGAACAAACTCGAACCAAGAGAACACAGAACCCATATGAGAAATCAGATCCTGCAAGCTTCCTGTTGATCACATGACCTTCAAATGTAAACAATTTAAACTTAAATAAAATTGTGATTTTATTTTATTTTTTTCTTTTAAGTGAAAGCAAAGAGCATAGATTCACCAGGAGGCGACACTCTAGTGCAATTTGGGAAACAGCCACTACAAACTCCAGTAGATTTATTAGTATTGAACGACTTATTTGCACTTATTGAGTGACGTGACTTGAAAATCCCATTTTCGATCCTTAGTAAACAACATGTCGAGAAATAATTCTAAAAAAATCAGCTGATATTACCGAGGAAGTAAGCAACACGTAGAGTGGTGACGGCGCCATGTCGGACCAGGGAGATATCAGAGAACTCCTCGGCGGTATTAGATCTGAGGTAGCCGCGCTCAGAGTGAAAATCCTTGCTGAGCCTAAATCATCTATCTCCACGGTACAAAAAGCACTATTAGAGCAAGAACAGAAACTGGAGGATGTTTAAGAAACCCTTTCCGACATTGCTGGCCACGTTACTGCCCTGGAATCTACGTGCTCAGTGCTGTTGAAAGAAAATGAAAAATTGAAGGCCAAACTGGATGACTTGGAGAACAGATCCAGGAGGAACAACATACGTGTGATTGCCATTCCCGAAGGCACCAAGAGCACACATCCGTCTGCATTTATTGAAACTATGTTACTCAAAGTTTTTGGAGAGCAAAACTTTACCAGAAAACCAGAGGTGGATAGAGCTCATCGTTCGGCACCCCCGCCGAAACCTAATCAAGCTCCCAGGCCCTTCATCGTGCGAATGCATCACTACCAATCGATGAAGATAATTGTAAAATGCAAATAAAAACGATTTCAGCAAGGAAGCAGCTCACACCACTAGCAGGTTGTGGGGGCCACTTAGTTCTTTTATAGGGAAGGCCCTATAACCGAATATTAGTTCATTTCTGATATTTTTAAATAATCATTATGCAACAATTATATTTTATTAACAAATTTAAATAAAGGGGGTTTTGTATTGCTATTTTTAACCATTTTCTTTCGAGGAATTAATATTCACTTGGTCGGTTTGTGTAGCATATATGTGTTTTTTTTTATACAAGTGGGTTGAAATTCATATTAGATGTTTCTGTTTTCCCCCGTCAACTTTTTTTTTCTCTTATTTTATGAGATAAATAGCTGACTCCCACTCTTTTTCTTTCTTTTTTTCCTTCTCTGGCAGAACTTGGTTTCATGGGACTCGGGTAAACCGGAGTGTCTCCTGCTGCTGGTGAAGGAGATGCTGCAGCAGTACCATCAGTACCAGTGCCAGCGGCTGCGAGACAGTTCCCGTCTGCTCTTTGAATACGACAGCCTGCTCGAAGACCCAAACTATGGACGTAATATGGAGATCTATGCTGGACGCAAGAACAGCTGGGTACCAGTCCTGCATCACACGTACATTTACAAAAAAAAAAAATCATCATTTGATCTCATTAAAGGGATAGTTCACCCAAAATGACAATTTAATCACTACTCAGTAATTTCAAACCTTCATAAGTTTCTTTCTTCTGTTGAACTCAAAAGAAGATATTTTGAAGAAAGATGAAAAACAATGACTTCCGTAGTAGAAAAAACAACTTAACTACTTCTACTAAACAACAGCTACTACTAATAACTACTCACTATTAACTACTAACTACTATTTCTTCAAAATATCTTAATTTTGTTCAACACAAGAAAGAAGCTCCTAAAGATTTAATACAAGTAAAGGGTAAGTAAATAATGACAATTAGCATTTTTGGGTGAACTATCCCTTTAAATTAACAAATATACAATTGATGATTTTTTTATTTAATTAAACATAATAAAATATAATAGCAGATACTTCATATAACTCCACTTCAAGTTAGCTGTTTTAATACAATTTTTTTAAATAATTGAACAAAATGGCAATTATTTATGTGCAATTTTTTCGTTATCGGCACTGATTTACTTAGCTGACATTTTTATACCTTGCTACAGGGAGTTTTCTTACAGCAGTGTGCTATCTGCTGTTAAATGGATATTTCACCCACAAATGAAAATGTGCTCAATGTTTACTCTCCTTCCAAACCTTTATGAACCAAACACAGAAGAAGATATTTTGATATTTTGAAAGAGGCGAAAAACAGTAACCATTGACTTGTATTGTAGGAAAAACCAATGGAATTCAGTGGTAACAGGTTTCTGGCTTTTTTCGAAATATCTTTTTTGGAAAGTCAAATGATGTCTAACAGGTTTGTAACTAGTGGGTAAATGTTGACAGATGAAAGAATGATCCGTTTTGGGTGAACTCTTTAAAACACAAATAATAATTTTTGGGCTTCACAATTCACATTTACACAATTCATGATTGCGCAAGTCCAATTCGTCAATTTAAAACAATTCATAAAGGCACAAATCCAATTTGTAAATTCATAATCCAATTGAATTAGATTTCCAATTAGAAATACTAAAATCCTATTCCAATTCAATTCCTAATCCAATTCATAAATTCAAAACACAATTAATAAATGCGCCAATCCAGTTTATAAAATCAAAACACAATTCATAAATGCGCAATTCCAATTCGTAAATTCAAAACACAATTCATAAATGTTCAAAATCAATTGGTAAATTCAAAACACAATTCATAAATGCGCAAATCCAATTGCTAAATTCAAAACAGTTCGTAAATTCATAACACAGAAATGTGCAAATCCAATTCATGAATTAAAAACACAATTTATAAATGTGCAAATCTAATTTGTAAATTCAGAACACAATTCATAAATGGCCAAATCCAGTTCATAAATTCAAAACACAATTAATAAATGGCCAAATCCAGTTCGTAAATTCAAAACACAATTCATTAATGGCCAAATCCAGTTAGTAAATTCAAAACACAATTAATAAATGCGCAAATCCAGTTCATAAATTCAAATCACAATTAATAAATACGCAAATCCAGTTCATAAATTCAAATCACAGTTCGTAAATTCACGACACAATTCATAAATACGCAAATCCAATTTGTAAGTTCAAAACACAGTTCATAAATGTAGGACACAATTTATAAATACGCATATCCCTAAATTCAAAACACAATTCAGAAATGTGCAAATCTGATTTTCTAATTCAAAACACAAGTCTTAAATGCGCAAATCCAATTCATAAATTCAAACACATTTTAGAAATACGCAAATTCAGTTTGTGAATTTAAAACACAATTCATAAATATGCAAATTCAATTCGGAAATTCAAAACGCAATTCATTAATATGCAAATCCAGTTTGTAAATTCAAAACACAGTTCATAAATGTGCAAATACAGTTCGTAAAATCAAAACACAATTCATTAACAAGTAAATCCAATTTGTTAATTCAAAACACGATTCATAAATACGCAAACACAATTCGTAAATTTAACACAATTCAGAAATGTACACATCCTAATCATTTGGGGAAATATTTTTGATAAATTGTTTTGAATTTACGAATTGGATTTGTGTACTTTGAATTGTTTTGAATTTACAAGTTGGATTTTGTAAATGTGAATTGTGCTGTGTATGTATGAGCGTTATTTTTGTAAATGTATTGTTTTTAAGACTGATCTCCTTAGAATATCAATGTCAGATGACACACAGGGCACAGAAAATAGACTAGTCAAAACTAAATGCACACACAGTTGGACACAGAAAGTTTTATAATGTGGTTGTGTTTTTGGGAAGAGTGCAGTATGTTGGGCTGTGGGCATGAGTGTGTTGCTTCATACTGCAGGCTTCAGTCTTTAAAGGGATGTGGTCTGTGGGATAACAGTCTGATTAGGAAACATTTGAGTAATCTTCATCTGTAAATGATGTAACATACATATATTATATAAAGGTAAACAAGTTGTGATAAAGCAAAGTACATTTAAAATTTGTACATTTCTATATACTTTAGAAAGCAATCAAAGAGAATTTAAAGAGAGCTATATTATTGGAATAATTTCCATTTAATAATTTTCTTTTACTCACCCTTAGCTTGTTCAGAACCAGTTTGAGTTTTGTTGAACACAAAAGAAGATGTTTTGAACAATGTTGGAAATCTGTAATCATCCATATATATATATATATATATATATATATATATATATATATCATGTTGGTTTGCTGAATGTTCTGTATTTTTATATTTATTATTATTTTTGTTTGTATAAGTTAATTTGTGTTCAACTTGTTTACAGAAAGGTAAGGTCATTTCATTTGTGTTTACTAATTGCTCTAGATTAAAAATGAGTGTTTCAGTTCTGAATCTTTAAAAATTAATTTGATTATATATATATATATATATATATATATATATATATATATATATATATTTTTTTTTTTTTTTTATGTGTTACAGAACAAATTTTGCAAACTTGTTAATGAGTAAATGATGGCAGAATAGTCATTTTCTGGTGAACTATCCCTTTTAAGCACAGGTGTCAAACAGTTTAGTCCCAACCCCAATTAAACAAAATGTAATCCAGGTAAGAGTGTTGGAGCAGGGTTGTCACCCCTGCTTTAAGGGGACTTTTTAATACAGTCAAGCCCGAATTTATTCATACTTCTGGCAAAATCTGACTTAAAGTAACTTTTATTCAGCCAGCAAGTTGTTTTTGACCGGAAAGTTGTCTTTGTAAGTGGAAAAACGATGCACTAGCGAGAAAATTGTTTAACACCATCTGCGCGAGGATAAGGAGCCTTCTCCATTCAACCTGTTTATTTTCTCTTTACTTTACATTTACTCTTTACTTTACTCCTTTACTTTCGTGGTCTTTAGCCTCCTTGTTAGAGCAAACGACTCCCATGCGGAAGGTCGCCGGTTCGATCTCAGCTCGGAGCGGGTTGGGTGGTGTAGGACTAGTGGGCCTACATACAGCAATTCGCAAGTTTCTTTACAAATGAAAAAGAATTAAAGCAATAAAATATTTCAAAAAATATTATTTTCTATATAAATATAAAAACTACTACCTTCATGCTTTCTTCATCTCAGGGTGCTTTTTCAGTTTATTCATGACAGTTTTGCTTTTGTATAATGTTAATATTATTAGGAGTAGTATTTATTATATGCAAATATAACATTTGTTTTATGAAAAACAAGCTTATATTTGTCCACCTCTCAGGTTTTGGACCATATGGGGCACAACATGTGTAACTCACAACATGTTATTATTGTTCATTTATTTGTTTGCTGGAAATTTTAAACAAATCTGGTGCTTAATAAGCAAAATTAATTATGTTGGCTAAAGGATGTCTGTGCGTTCAACATGTGTCCTTATCCAAGAAAGAGATTGAAAGTGAAAGATAGTCTGCAGATGATCTGTTTAACTGTTTTCTCGCTAGTAAAGCACTCAATTTTTCCACTTACAAAGTCTGTCATGTGAATACCAAATGCGCTATGACATCGCAACTGACTCTTAAAGGTAATGGGAGCTAAGACTCTGATTAGTTTGTTCCCAAAACACACCTATAACTTATTAAGAGAATAAGCTCAACCCTGTTAGACCATGCACCGACACGCCCTTGATGCTTTTGCGTCCTGCGCTTTGGACTTTGCGCCTAGATTGTTAAAATAGCGCCCTAATCTAGTAGCAGGCAACAGCAGAGTACAATTTCAGAGTTGTTTCAGTCATGTTAGTTTGCTGAATGTTCTGTATTTTTATATTTATTATTATTTTTGTTTGTATAAGCTAATTTGTGTTCAACTTGTTTACAGAAAGGTAAGGTCATTTCATTTGTGTTTACTAATTGCTCTAGATTAAAAATGAGTGTTTCAGTTCTGAATATTTAAAAATTAATTTGAATAAATATTTAAGTAAAAGTTAATATCTTTTCATTTTCTTTTTTTAACTAAAACTCACTACATTTTAGCTGTAAGAAGTTATGATATAGAATATTGAGCTGAAGCTTGACTACAAAATTAAATCATAAATCAACTCAAAATTGCTAAATCTGTCAAAGAAAAAGGCAATTAGATATTTGCCCCAAATTGCACAGCCCTAGATCCATGTAATCCCATTGTTTTGTTTTGTACAACACAATGAATGTGTGATCCGTATCAAATCTAAGACAGCAATATGCGTTCTGATCTGAAACCAGTCAAATTACCTGTTGTGTGAGCAGTGTCACAGAGTGCATACGCTCACGACTTGATCAAGTGTTGTTTTTATTTTTCCTTCTAGACGGGGGAGTTTTCTGCTCGTTTCCTTCTCAAGCTCCCTGTGGATTTTAGCAACATTCCTATCTATCTTCTCAAGGTAAGACGGATCCATCATCGCGCACTCTCAGAAAGAATGTTAGCCCCCGTCCCTTTGATTTGAAAAGATGTTTATCTGTTTATCAGTGCATAAAAATGTCTCCGCACAAAAAACAAAGATTCATGCAAAGGTGAATATAAGAATAGGTCGTTCTTGTGCAAGTGCTCATTTCTCTTCTCTTGTTTGTGCGTGCGCGCGTGTGTGTGTGTGTAGGCTGTAAGTTGACTAATCAGCAGCCTGTCACACCCAATCAACTCTGAGCTGTGTTGTGTCTGCGGGCCTTCTCTCTCGCCTCTCCTTCCAGTCACCCTGTGTCTTGCCCTCTCTCTTTTTTTCTCTTTTCCTATTTGCCCGTCTCTGTCACACTACTATGTGTATGTCTGTGCCAATGTGTGCGTGAGAGGGCGTGTACAGCCTCGGGAGGCCCTTGCTCTATGGCCTTTTCTAGTTGGAGCCACGTTTGTCCTCCCCAAGAGAGCTGAAATGATGGTAAACATACGGAAAACAGCAGCCGTCATCAGCATCACCATCTCAGCATTCAGCGGTACACAGCACTCATGCACAGACATGTACAGTTGGACTTTACTGCACTGAAACTCACTTTAGCTGAAAGTCCAACATTGGTTTTTGATGTATATTTAAGCCGTTATATCTGGCTAATGTGCTGTGAAGCTTGACGTAATGGTGTCCTCAATTGTGTTTTTTTATATATGTTTATCATATTTATTAGAATTTGCAGAGTTTCCACTTGTAAGTCTTAACCCTTGTGTGCTTTTTTGGATGTTTTCAACGACTCTAGGGTGATTGTGAGGCCTAATTTGACCACAATGTGCTTTGTGTTTTAGCAAATGCAATGATTTTTGGTGACAAATCTTATTTTGAGACATATTTTGGAAAAAATGTTTTGACAATTTTCAAAAATTCAACAATACGTTGTGCAAATTGACCTCTCTTTCACTATGTTCAGGGCTGTTTTTGCTCTATTGACTTCTATTAAAATGACATTATACACCATACACCAGGGGTTTTCAAACTTTTAGGACACACGCCCCCCTAAGTTTGTACAATTTCACTCGCGCCCCCCAGGCACCCCTCCCTCGAGACTAAACTATAATGCATGTGCAAATGTCATTCACATATTACTTAAGAAAAAGAAAAAGGTCCACAGTGGATTCTCCTTCCCAAGCAAATTCCATTTTTCTTTTTGATACTTGGCGGCAGTTTATCAGGAAGTGGCGGCTTGTTCTCTTTGACTCATTGAATGGAAACGGTGCTTTATTCACAAATGTTTTATGCAATATTCCAGTTTAGCTTCAAGTTTAATTTGCATCTTTGGATGAAACTAAGCTAGACTCTTCTACATGGTGTCCAGTTTCCCAAAGAGATCTGGGGCCTCATGTATCAACACTGTGTACGTACAAAAACTTTGCGTATGCCAGGTTTCACGCTCACGTTTGGATTTACTAACGCTGAAATTAAAATGAGAATTTGCATTGGTCCGTGCCAACTTTATGTCTTATGTATGTGTATTTATTGTATGTGTTTGTTTTATTTCCACTGGCAACTCCTAGAGGCAATTGTGTTAAATTGTCCACTACAAAGTAACGCACCACAAACATTGCTATTAATTTATAATTGAGAAAATGGGTTAATTGACACAATATATTTTTTAACCAATTATGTGATTTAGAACATATAAAAGCATTTGAAAAAGCATACAACCCTTAGTCTATGGCAATGGCAGTGTTGGCCGTATTAGAGGACATTGTGGTCGAATCTAAAGAGAACACATTTTTTAGGGATCACAGTGATTTTCTGGCCCACGATGATGACTCGCTTATTAGCCATTTCATATTTCCAAGAGCTGTCCTTTTGGAGCTCTGTGCTGAGTTGGGTCCAAATTTGGAAAGAGAGACAGCAAGGAGGCTCCAAGGGTGGGCGATGGGTGACTTCTTGGTGTGTGATGTATTTAAAGAAATTATTCTAGCTACGTTTTTTTTATTTTATTTTATTGAACGTAATTATTTAACTGCATTTCAGGAGACTGCGGTTATCCATTAAAGATAAAGTTGAAATGGCGGTAGCTCTGCCTTGATAAGAGCGGAGGGGTGCTGCTATACCGCCCTGACAAAGTGTTCCTCCAATACATCTGTGTCTCCCACAAACACGGATACTACTCCAAACAGTTAAGTGTTGGCCACAATTGAGGATATTCTCTCTTTAAAGGGTGTTAGTTCAGCATCCCCTGTTCCCCCACCTGTTCGGTCCACACTTTAACGGTGCGCCACTGTTCTCCTCTTAACTTGCACCTTTACATCAAACTATTTATTTTTAATTTGTTCACAGTGCGATGTTCAGACTCCACTGCGTTAACCGTGTCACCTAAACTCTCCCACTCTATTTTTATACTTTTGTTATTAATTCCGGAGGACAAACTTGCAAATAACACAGTTTTTCTCTGGTCCACCTCGGAAAGGAGCACCTCCAATGTTACATTCTGTGAAGTTTCTCTTCTCGCTTGCTTTTGCCATTGCTTTTTCGTTTGGTTTTGCCAAAGTGAAGTCATTACCATATTTATACAGGGGAGTAGGTAGGGAGGGTTTTTGCGCTTGTGCACGTGCGCTCAGTTTCACATTAATTCGTATGTTCAAAGTATATGCATGAGATTCCGCGCACACACTGTTTCATACATCTGATTTTTTTACTGCATATGCACATTTACAGCTTTGTCCATACGCAATGTTTTAGTATTAATTCAACGCAAGTCTTTGTACATGAGGCCCCCTGCTATAAAGGCTCCATCTGAAGACGAATTTCCATATGTAAATCAGAAACCTTTCCATTCCATAAGTGTGCAAATAATATGTGATGCTCAAATGCGCTTATCATAATACACACATTTTAATGTTTCTTACTTGTGTTCCTTGTGATGAAGAGTAGGCAAAATCTGATATGTAATGGGGAAAAAAGAATGAGTTCATCAGACGCTGGATTCGAACCGGATTCATGAATGACAGTGTCAAAACATGTTGCCATGCGCTTTACGAGCTACACCACTCACGCTGATAATGTTTTCCCTTTTTAGCTTTGTTGTCTCTGCTGATCAAACAGGCCGAAATCACTCAACTTGCTCATTCCAACGACAAACTTGCAAAAACCACCATTATTATCCAGTCTACCTCCGATAGGAGCACCTCCAATTCACATTCTGTTCAAAGTTTCTCTTTTCGCTTGCTTTTGCCATTGCTTTTTCGTTTGGTTTTGCTACAGTAGAGTCATTAGCATATTTAAACAGGGGAGGAGGCAGGGAGGCATTTTGCGCTCATTCACGTGTGCTCAGTTTCACGTTAATTCGGATGTACAAAGAGTATATGCGTGGGATTCGGCGTACGCAGTGTTTCATACATCTGAATTTTTCACTGCATACACACATTTACAGCTTTATGCGTACGCAGTGTTTTAGGATGATTTCAACGCAAGACATGAGGCCCCTGGTCTTTCTTTCTGTACGTACCTTCTGTTACATGAATTTGTAAGACATTTGAAAGTCAGCATCATAGTTTTTTATCACTCCACGAACAAGTTGCTGGTTGATGACATTTTGACAGCTCAAATCTTCATCATGACAAATCTCCAATGACGTTCTCTGCTCTCTTGGTTTGGCTTTGCACTCTGCTACAGCAGAACAAGGCCATGTAGGCACCGGGAGGAATGGTGTCATGTACCATGATAGTTGCCTGGAGTGTGCCGTCTCACTGGTTTTGTCTTAGTAGTCCGGACATGTTTACCTTCCCAAATTCACTTTTGTCCCTCAGGGACAAAGAGCTTGTCATGAGAGCAGTCTGCACTGGTGGAGAGAAACAAAGGACAATGGCAATGGTGTCTTTCTTCTTTTGTAATAACTTTGGGAGTTTAAAGGGGAAGCCCTAACTCTTCCAAACAAACGTTTTACATTTTGGATGCTAATGCAAAACAGAAAACACTGCGATTTTTATCGAATCAAAAATTCAAGCTCTTTACATGCTTAAAACAGACAAGAACTGTGTACCTCAGACAGTTTAGCCCTGCAAATATGCACTGAGCACTATTCGCTGCTCTTTTTTTGGCGTTGTTTAGCGTGGCACCCATTCGGCTCTAAATGTCAGCTGTCCTAGTTTGCGCAGCCAACGGTGAAGCTAGCCGAGGCTCTGTGTTTGTGACAAGCCTGATCAGTCTCACTCCACTGGAGCCACACAGGCCGCTAGTCGGGACCTGACTTTCTGTGCAACGGAGGAGGAGGATTTCGCAGTTAACCCTCAGGGATACCACCACATGCTGTTGATTATTTTAGACAACTCCTGCGAGTCACATGCCAGGTCTGGAAGTTGCTTTTTGACTGACATTAGCAGGCCAATCTGTTGCTATAGAATACATTCTCAATTGTTGATCATTTAATGAAACGCGAAGAAAAAGAATTAAGGGAAATAATATTTATTTTAAAGGTGGTAATGGATGAAATTTTCACTTTTGTACATATTGTTTTTTAATTATCTGAGCTGCTGTGTCTGCCAGCTCAGACAAGTTGAAGAGAAACATGCAGCTTATTTTTCATAAGTACTGTAAGTGAAATTTCTGCTATGAAACTCAATTGTGTGCGCAGACTGATAGTTCACTTAATCTGCTCCTGTGTTTTCAGCTACATGTCGCAGGAGATTGGTTTCTCCTCATCAGTTTAAATGCTCTGCGACGTTAAGCTGTGGCAAATTTTCGGAGACCATCTTCCACCCCAGCTCCACCTGTGTTTCGATCTGCTACGGGGTTTACATATATATTATGTGTACAGAAGCGGGGTGTTTTATTCTCAGATGGCATGTCTGTGTATATACTGACAGTTGCGGGTCTCGGTACCTGCTGCGGCATAGCAGATTTGTTCCACCTAGACCAAATACATCAACATCGCCATATAAATATTTATTACCATACTAAATCCAGTGTGTTTGTGACAGAAACAAAGTGTTTGC